TCGCGCGTGCAGACCATGAGTGAGGACAGGCCTGGCACCCCTACGGCGGCCGACACAGACAAGTCCCTGGGTACGAGAGACGACGACTCGCGTCTGGGCCTCCCGGGCCCGCCCGACCACACTGTCAAGGACGAGAGCGGTGAAGACGGAGAAGGTGGAGTCACCCGACTACGGAGAAGGCGAGCCCCCTCCTCTTGTATCCTGCTCGGACTCTGCCACGGAGGTCGACGACAACGGCCCAGGCGACAAGGCGCCTCAGCGGAGTCCAACGGCAGACAGCTCTGAACCCAGCTCCGAACGCGACCCGACTGCTGCCGGGGGTGGCCCGGCTAACACCGACCAACACACCAGTGCAGCCAGGGGATCTGAGGATGATGAGAGCGCCCGCGACAGGGGCGACGTGCGGACCCGTCGGCCCCCACTGCGTAACCCACAGGTCCCTGGGTATAGACCTACCTACCCTCGTTCGACGGAGCGCCATACGCTCAACCTGTTGACCGACTCACATGGGGGCCCCATGTACAAGGTCTGGCTGGGCACTGTGGACTTGAAGCGTCGCGACGAGCCACCCGCCAAACGCCTCGCCAGGTACCAGTCGGAGTTGGGTGCAGTTTTCTGCGCGTTGTGGACCGTTTACACGCAGCGCATTTGGCTCCCTGGATCCAGGGAGCCCAAATCAGACCCGAGACTGCACGCGGAAGCGACCATCAACAAGTTTCTCGGCGACTGGAAGGGCTGCGGGTACAACGCCTACCTGATGGACACGAGGTACGGCTATCGCATTGACTGGGCCAAACTGCGGGCCGACTACCTGCGACGCACCCGACCCGACGGCAAGGGCAAAGGCAACCTCCAGCAGAGCAGCTGGCGAGACCGTGCGACAAGCTCCTGGGGCACCTGGGGCACTTGGCAGAGCGACTGGAGCGAAGGCTGGCACGACGATCGCTGGCAGACGGGTGGCAAGCGTGGTTGAGGCAGACCCGACGAGCGAGACGAAAAGAGACACCGATGGAGAGACTGAGCTCACTTCCCATACATCCAGCACCTAGACAGCCCGAGATGATAATCTCACTACACACTACGTGCGGCCTTCAGCTGCCTTACCTTCTCTTTCAACCGTGCGGCAGCCCCGCTGCCCCCCTTCCCTGGTCCACACACTTCCTGCGTTTGGACCCAAGTGTGTCGACCAGCAACACCATCTGCTTCGCTGCGTGGGGGAGCGTAGCTCGCAGGCCCTAGCTGGCCCCTGGCCTCGCTGTAGTGGTTCTCACCAGTGGCCCGATTGGTCCCGTGCTCGGCTATGCTGCTTTGGGGCCGACCGGGGCCCACTCCCGAGACGTGCTTGCACCCTGGGATTCTCTATCAGACAGCGGCCTTCAGCCGCTCCTTGGACTACAGACCCAGCTTGCGGCATCCTGCCGCCCCTCCTGGCACGCGCACTTCCTGCCTTTGGACTCAAGTATGTGTGCCAGCAATACCGTCCACACTGCAATCTCGTGTTGCGTGTGGCCACGGTGGCCCCTGGCCCCACTGTAGCTGTTTTCAACCTGCCAGGCCAAGCCTGGCGCGCAGCCCTGTGGCCGACGACCTGGCGGTTTTCGCCCCGTCCCCAGACCTGCGCTCAACTCCCTGGGATCTCCAAGTTACTACGGCTTTCAGCCGTGCCTACCTCGTTTCTCCTGGGAGCAACGCGAGACACGGAGGTACGGGCAGTCCAGCGTCGTGGGTCCTTACGCCAATTTGCGGAATGCCCACCTGGTCCGCCTGCGCCCCACTCCGACTGGGCCGATGACCTCACCCTGGTTAGCGCCGCCCACCGTCGCCGTGCGTCACTATTCTGACTGCGCTGCACGGTTTCGGAGTATGACGGGCACTCGGTCCTTCTTCGTTGCTCTCCCGCGCATCCAGGTGTGCGTTTCTCCTTGGGACTCTGTGACTGTGAGGGACTTGCTGTCTTGGGTATGCGACGGTTGCTGTCCTTCGAGCGCTTCCCCACATGGGCATGTGGGTCGCCTGACGCTAGGTCACGTTGTTGTTCGGTGCACGTCCATTCCCGAGTGACCTCGCGTTCTCACAGAGTGGCTACCTGTGTACCCCTGCTGCGCCCAGACCAGATCGCTGGTCCTCTGAGCGCAGGCGCATCGCTCAGCAGTGGGTCGGGTCTCGCCTTTGCCTGCTCGGCCTTAGGCTTCCCCTTCCGCCGCGGGTGCGTTTTCTGATGCTGCGACGGTTCGCTGGCGCTGTCAGAATCCCCCTCCTTGCTGGACGACGTCACCAGTTTCAGTCTGCTCATACCCGTCAGACTCCCTGGACTGACTTTCTCGCACGGAGATCGTTCCCACAACCTCGCGGTTGTCTCGACACGATCACGACCGGGAACGCATTGCGCGCCATTTTGGCCGCGCCTGGCTTGCTCCCGGGTGACTGGCCCTTCAGACTCCCTGGGTTGCAGCTTGCACGACCGCCTCAGGTGACTGACCTTTCAGACTCCCTGGGATTGCACGACCGCCTGGCCTCTCAGACGCCCTGGGTTGCCGTCCCCTCGCCGCCTGATCCGCGGCTCCCGCGCGCGACCGGGAATTTAGTCGCGGCCGTAGCCCGACCGTGACTGCTCGCCGCCGGCGCTTCCGCCTGCGTGTTTTTCTCTTTTTTTTTTCATTTTTAAAAAAGTAGCCCCACCAGTGGCGACAGCTTGCGTGTCTCTCGGTCGCTTCTGCTTGAGCATGGCAGACACCTTGAGTCCCCTTGGTACGCCATTCCCGCGCCGAGGTTGGCAGACTCCCTACTGTTCAAATATCCTTGACACGGTGGGGGTCTTGCATCGCGCCACTTTGGCAGCGTAATGACTGCTCCCTGGGTGCTGGTTGCCGTCAGACTCCCTGGGCTGCAGCACCCTTGCACCCGCCGCATGGCGCCGGCCGCGCTCGCGCGCGCTTTCCGCCAATTTGTAGCGGCCGCAGCCCGACCGTTACCCGCCGCCGCTGGCGCTTCCGCCCGCGGCTGTAATAAAAAAAGTAACCCCACCAGTTTCGTTTGGGTTTTGCCACTCGGCACATCTTGAATTCACCCGCATTTTGCCGTGTTGCAAGTGTTCGAGCACCCTGGACGCCCTCAGCTTGCCGCTCCCCCCGCGCAGTAAGCCGCTGCTGGATGAGTGGGCCGGCCGGCTCGCGGCGCGTTTAGCTGCTAATTAGGAATTAGGCCGCTGTCGTGACCCGTAGCGCTTCTGACTCCGCTAGCGCCTTCGCTAGCGGACGCGACCGAAACAAAAAAAAAAAAATCCATCCTGAATCGATGCGTTGCCCCGATCAGGGATGTGGAGGAGAATTCAGTGGAACGAAGGGCTGGGTAGTGGCAAGCCTTTGTACCCCAGGAAGGGGAGGTGGAATGGAGGAGGAATCAGAGGAGGAAGGGGAGGAGGAGGAGGAGGAGTAGGGCCTTGGGGGAGGGGGAGAAGGGAGGAGGAAGGAGGAGGAACAGGCGGATGAAGAAGAGGAGGAAGAGGAGGGTAAGGAGGAGGAGGAGGAGGAGGAGGAGGGCGAGCTGAAAGGCGAGAGACCTCTTGGATGCAACGCGGAGTCTCTTCGGATTCCTCTCGAGAGATTCTTGGGGCCTTTTTTTTCGGCTTGGGGGTCTCTTGGCAGTCCCGGGGGCCTCTTGAGGCGTCTCGGGTGCCTCTGAGGGGCATATTGGGGGCTTCGGGGTGATCTCTTGGGAGCCTCGTCATCTTGGGGGCACCATTGAGGCCTCTTGGGGCTTCCTGGGCACCTCTTGGGGTCTTCTTGGGGCACTCTGGAGAGCCTCTGGGGCAATCTTGGGGCCATGTTGGAAGCAACCGATCAAAGGAGGGGGGTTCCTTACGTAGGTAGGGTCCCCCCCAAGATGCCAAAATGTGGCCAACACAGCAATCAATCAATCATTTTGGCCCTCTCGCCGAGGCCGTTTTGGACGCCCCAGCCCCTCGCAGAATTCCCAGACCCAGGGGGAGGGGGCAGGGGGAGGGGTAACCCCCTCCCTGGATAGGAAGAAGTGGGGTTGGGGGAAGAAACCCGCTAAACCACTCACGCTCTAAAGGATAATGGGGCTACACATTTTCCAACAAGCACCTTTCTCATGCCACCCCGCTTGACAGCCCGCTCTGGCCTTCAACGCACACCGAAACTTCCGCCCCCGCGTGATCCCCTCGCCGACGCCCAGCGCAGGACAGTCAGGTAGCCCACTCCTACTCTCCGCGCGGTCGGTCAACCTCATCGAAGAACTTGGATTACAGGTGGACAGACGGTGACCCCATCGTCCAGCGAGTCAAAGGCGATTCGGGGTGAGCGAGCCATTTTGGGAGGGGCCGTTCCCCGATGCTGTCTCGAGGGCCGAGTGATTCGCGTCTTTTGCTGCCATATTTTTACTCTACGGTCCCCTCCTCGTTCCTGGTTGCGGCCGCTCGGGCACAATGCCGACATGGTTCGCACCGCGGGCGCATCCGAGTCGAACGCAGCGCAAATGAAGTACATCGCTCCTTGCGTCATTCGAGCGTCTCTCACTCCTATGTCGGTTGAGCGACCTGGCTACTAGGCTGCAGAGACCAGGCTGCGTCCCAAATATCCTCGAGCGACAGACCGTCCGGAGAGGTCTTCGAGCTTTCGGGGCCATCGGGCCTGCCATGCGGGGCTCCTGAAGTCGCCGTCTTCCCAACTCGGTCGACAAGCGCTATGCATTTATACCGACCCTGGCCAGGTCAGTCTTGGGTGCGTGTACCTTCAGGCGCGTTTCCTTTGGCGAGGGCGGGCATTGCCAGGGGGAGGGCGTTCTGGGTGGCCAGCGCGTAACAACATCGCGATTTGCGCCGGTGCCGTCTGGGAATCAGGCATGTGCCCCTGGCCGTTCCGAGACGGCGCCGGCGCGCATCGTAACGTAACCAGGGGGTGGGGGGGGGCCTGGGGAGGAGCGTTATACCGCGAATAGTTCCAGAACCGGGCTCTGAGCTGCGCCCTCCACCTGGCCAGGGGCGGCGAGACGCTCTTCCTGCCAATCAGCCTCGCCGGCACCAGCGTGCTGGTGCTGCCCGCGGGCGCGGCGCGCGACGACGCCGGAATCGAAGAAGGACCAATCGGCAAGACATGGGCTATCGGAGGTACGCGCGGATCTCTTGGATCGGCGTTGGACCTTCCTGGCGGCGCCTACGGCGCCGCCCCTGGTGCGCTGCGCGCGCCGAGGAGGGGGCCTAGTGCCGACCAAAAGATCCGCGCGGACCTCTGACAATTTGTGCTCATGACGTCTTCTTTCAAGCAGTGGCGAGGCGTCCTGGCTTGCCTGTAGGCCCACCAACAAATTGACTAAGAACTTTGCTGAGGTGTGCACGAACATTCCTGGTCCAGTTTGTCTTAATACATCGGCTCGATGTGCTGAGAACACTGTTTGTGCTCTAAGGGACATTCCTTGGGCATGAGAAAATTTCGTGGCAGGCCTAGAGGAATGCCGGGACGGTCGGTCCTTGGTCAACTGCTTGTTTCTCCACGGAGGCACGCCGCCTCAGGCCCCGCGGCGCTCGCGGGGGGACGCTGCCGCCGACGGCGGCGGCGCGCAGGGCGGCTCGCCGGGGATTGAGCTGCCTTCTCGGCCTGCGGCCTCTCTCGGCCTGCTGCCCTCCTCCTCCTCCTCCTCCTCCTCCTCCTCCTCCTCCTCCTCCTGAGATCTGGCTGTGGCAAGAGGGAGGTACGCCACCACCTGCGATCCGTCGCTGACGATCCAGGGCCGTTCTCATCACACTGATTTTGCGAGCCACCGCCATTGCATGTTATGTGTCGAGGGCTCGTTCGGTGAGTTCCTGTCGGCGCCCGTGGGCAAGGATGCACAGGGCGATCTTGCTTGCCCACTGTGCAGGTATCGTTGGATACTCTATGTCAGGGGGTCTGTTCGAGCGGAAGAGGAAGTGCAGGCCAGGCCCCACATGGGCCGCCAGGCACACGGCAGTGGGGAGCAGCACCATGGCGAGTCGAACAGTCGAAGTCGTCGACCCTTCCGCCGAGGGGATCGGCCCCGCAGCAAACAGCCAGCATTATGTCGGGCCTCCTGGAGCAGCTCCACGGGAAGCTAGGCAACCAGGGAGCGGCGGAACTCAACGCTCTGTAGGGCATCGTGGTCCACAGTGCCCCAGTGTCGGCACCGCCAAGGCAACTGCTGGAGGCCACCAGCCCAGCCAAGGGGGTCGTTTGCCGCAGCGCCCAGGCTCATCTCGAATTGTGTAACTCCCAGGAAGACAGAGGAGCCGTCCCAATGGCTCGAGGAGTGCAAGCACGCCACCGCCAGAGCGGCGTCAGCAGCGTTCGCCGCCACAAAGGAGTGGCAGGACGAGCTGTCACTGGAACTACGCAAGGCGACAGGGTCGAAAGGCCCACACGCAAGCGCCGTCGGAGGCGTCTGCCAGTCGGAATGGATGCGTGCAGTTCAAGTCTTCGCAGCTGCTCAGTGGTGGGGACAGCCAAGAATTCGTCGAGATTGTTGATCGGGTCGTCCTGGAAAGTTCAGTCTTGGAGGTCGAGGATTCGGAGCGCCAGAAATTGGAGCAGCTCAAGAATAGCATGGGCAAGGAGGTGCAGAATACCATTGCCGATGCAATCGGCACCGCGGCAGGCAACGCCCAGCAGCTGCGCAATCAGGCCCGAGAGACGCGACAAAGGTTGGCAGCAAAGAGACCGAGGCAGGACGACGGTGGGGCCTCTCAGGACAAGCCCGAGGCAACCCCGCCAGGGCCCAAGACCAAGGTTGTCGAAGGCTCCAGCAGCTTTTCGCCGCAGTCAGCTTGCAGAGCGCCGATGTCTGGAACGGCGGCCAGCCAACTCCAGCTTCGGCAACTGTGCAGCTAGCACCAGCAACAGCAGCCCCCAGTGCGTCGCCAGGATCGTGGACTGCAGCTGCACAGAGCCATTGGTCAAGTTGGGTGGGTACTCCATCTTCTTCATAGGTTTTGCCCGACCTTCGCGCGGCCGAATTTCAGCAACTACGCCAGGAGACGGACGCCCTCGAGCGCCGCGTACGGCAGGACTCTGCGCAACCGACGGATGATGCAAGTACGTTGCCAGTCCGAGCGGCAGAAGTGGGCAGCAGCCACAACGCCCGCAGCTCCAGCAGCGTCCGCAGCGCCACCATCGCTGATCCCGCAGCGCTGGGCCAGAGCGGCCGGTGCTTTACCGCTGGGGCTACTATCCCGCCTGCCGATGTGCAGCTTCCGAGATGGGCTTACATGCCATCACTCTCAGCATTCGCATCGGCGTAACATATGGATCGAGCTCCCTGCGGCCGCCACGGTCTGCGCCGGTAGCCGTGCCACCACCGGCGCCAGAGTCTCCCAACGATCTGGCTCTCTTCAACCAGCGCGCCCCCGTTGACGCGCGCCAGCCATCGGGGAGAGCGGCCAAGTGGTTCGCCGGCCGCGACGCGTGGATGTCCAGCGGCGTGCGATCCGAACGAAGGGAAACTCCGCGCTCGACCGTCCACAGCGACGACAATTCGACGGGATCCACAGCATTCAGCTCGCATTTGGGTTCTTACGAAAGCAGGGCGAGCAGCGACGAGCCACGCAGACTTGGACCGAAAACCTTGCCCATCCACCATCCACCTCTTGCGCTGGCCGCCGCGCCGCCTCCGCCCCACGTCGCGGTCTTCGACGGCGACGAATGGGCTTGTCTTATCTGCGGCGAGGCCTCCGCGCACGGTGATCGACTTGCACGCCTACAGCGCCGCCGAGTCTTGCGCTGGGCGCGCCGCCGACAGCTCGCGCAGAACGCCGGCGCCCGCCCAGCGCGCTGCCTGGCGCGCCGCGGCCCGGCCGACGTCATCGCCAATTTCCGTTTCAGCGGTGCAGATCGTGCTGCCGCGGGCCGGCATTTGCGTTGCCAGCCCGCGCGGCAGACCCCGCGCGTTCTGCCCTCTCACCTGTCTCGGCCCCCGCCGCTCCTGCTTCCGCAACCTTTCGGCTCGAGCTTGTCGTTCCCCTGCCGCTGGGGCAACTACGGTTCGTGGGTCACTGCCGCGGAGACATTCATGCGCGCGCGCGCCACAAGATTCCTCTCGCTGGGACCTTTCGGGCTACAGGCCCCCAGTATCAGATCGAGGTCGTGCGCGAGCTACAGCGTCGACGACCCCCCCCCCTTTCGGGCCGCAGCAGTGCCTGGCGGGCATCGCTCCACTCTGCGCTGCAGAGCATGCATCGCCACCTTGCGCGCGGCAGCGTCCAACTACAGCGTCAACAACAGATGCTCGCAAGTGCCGGGTTCGTGGAACCCCCGCCGGCCAGTTCGTCGCGCGCCATCCACGAGAAGGGCGATTTACGTTGGAAGCAGTGGGCGTCCTCGAGAGCATCCACCTCCACAGCGCGGATGCCTTCGCCAGCCGCGCGGCCCGAGCGGGGAGACTCGCACGACAGACCCATCGGCGCGCCCTACGGAAGGTGGCCCACGATTTCCACGACTGGGCTGTCACCGACGACGCCCGGGCACACTCCACCGCTCACTGCGACCGCAGCCGCAACGGGCCGAGGCGATGCGGGATGGCAGCAGCACCGTCGCGCACCCCGTGGACCCCCTCGACGGCGAGGCAGCGGCTCGACGACGGCTTTCTTTGGGCGCCGAACGAGGCCAACCACGTCGGTTCACCCGTGGCCTTCCAGCGCATGCTCGACCGCATCAACGATTGCAGCCTGCCGCCCATCGCCAGCGCCGAGGTCAGACAAGGCCTCGAGCGCCTCAGGGCCAGCGCGGCGCTCGGGGCCGACCGGCTGCGACCGACAGATCTATTCTGTTTTCTTGAGCCTGCCCTCGTCCAGCTAGCCGAGATCTACAACGCGGCGGAGCAGGCGCAGGCGCGGCCGCGCCAGCCCCTGCGCGCCCTCGGCGTCATGCGCGCCAAGAAGGACATTAGTGACAGGGTGTTCAGCCCCATGGCCGCCATCGCCAGGTTCTTGCCCACGATAAGAGAACCACATGTCCAAGCGTGGAACAAGGTGTATTTTTTCGCCCAGTGGGACGCCATCGCCATGGGCAGCTGCCCTTCGGGAGGCCCGCGAGCGCAGCCTGCGCGAGGAGGTAGCGGCGCGACTCGGCATCTCACAGGCGCACGGCCTCCTTGACATTTCTCAGTTCTACGATTCCATCCACTGGACGACCCTCATCGACGATGTCTGTGGGCTCAATTTCCCAGCCGAGATTTTGGGCCTATGGCCTCGCGCGCGCTCGCACAGAGCGGCCCGTATGCTGTGGCCCTGCAACCAACCAGGCACGCGGTGCAGGGGCTGCGGTCAGGCGCGCGTTTCGCCGAGCTCATGGCGTTCAAGGCTTTGCATCGCATCGCCGCATGCCACCCCGCCACCCGACGCCGCATGCGGATCGACGATTTGTCGCAGCGCACGCAGGCCAGCCGGCGGGCACTCCGGCGCAACATGGCCACCGTGCTCACCGACACCTGCAACGAGCCGCAGAATCGAGGCCTCGTCATCGCCGAGGAGATTGTCACAGTGTGCACGCGCACCCAGGGCGCCAAGCACATCGCCAAGTCCACGCGGCACAAGGGGCACCTCGTCCACCTCTGCTGCGGAGCCGGGCGCTCCAGGGCCACGGCCAGTCAGCGACGTCGGCGCCGCGTGCAAGGGCACGCATGCCAAGATCGTCTGCGTCACCAAGCGGTAGCATCCCACTGCCAGGCTAGCCGCCCAGGGCGGGCTTGCCGCTGCCACCTGCGCCCGCCAGCTCCGAGGCGCGCCCGGCACCGCCATGGCCACCTGCCGACGGCGACTCGGCGATGCAGTTGCCCCACGGCCACGCTCCTCGATCCGCCAGCTGGCGAGAGGGGCACCGCCAAAAAGCTCCCGCGCGAAGCCGTCCTAGCCTGGCTCACCGCGTGGATTGCCAGCTCGCAGCCCCACCGTGCGATCGCCCTCGCCTGGGCAGAGATCGCCGAGCACTTCCGCGCCATCCCACCATCGCAACGAGTGCGACACACGCGAGGCCCACAGCCCACCATCATCCACTTCCTGATGCAGTTGGGGCGGGGCCCTGCGCAGCCCAACTTATGGGCGCTACCCTGTGACAGCAACGATGCAGGCGACGCTTGGGAGTTCGACGCCGCTGTACTATCGGGATTTCCAGATGCGGACATCCCACGCCAGCTGTTCGACGACGGCGACACCGGCATCCAGCTCCAGCTGGTGGCAAGCCAGCCAACGCCACGGCGGCGAGGGTCTCCAGCATGGGGCCGACAACCGCTCCCATCGCAGTCTGCTGCGATACCTGGAGAACATGCCACAAGGAGTTCGCTTGTCCAATCTCATGCTCACTATTGCCACGGGCGCCATGTGGGTCAGGAAGCGCATCGTGCGCGAGACCAAGATGCCTGATGTAGACGCCATCTGCCCGAGGTGTGACACCGAGGACGAGCGCGCCTTTCACCGAGCCCGGGGATGCAGCCACAACCGCGACAACGCCATCATCCAGGGCACCAATCACTTCCTTCCAGAGACGATGGCGCAACTAGACATGTTTGAATGTTTCTGGACGCGTGGCATTCTGCCAAGAGAGTGACGGCGCACGGTGGCTTTTGTTATGGGTCCAAAAGTACCATGTCGCTCGATTACAGCACTTACAGGGGCAGCCAATCTACGCGGTCGGCGACGCCAGTGGAGGACAGGAGACCAGCAACCCGCACCTGCGCATCGTCGGAGTTGATGCAGTTTTCTACAGCTCGCTGGACAATGATATGAGGATGCAGGCGGCCTTCTGGGGGGCGATGCCTGGCAGAAAACAGACCGTGGCGCGTGGCGAACTACTTGCCCTGGTCGCTGCGGTCGAACTGGCCAGGACGTCGTTCTTTTCACGGACAACGAAGGGCGCTATCTCAGCTACCGCAACGGACGCGTCCAGGAGCCCATTGGACAAGACGCCGGCCTCTGGCCCCGACTCCAATGCGCCGAGGTCCGTCGAGAAGGTCACGTCGCAGTCCTCTGAATTCCCTCGCATATGGAAGCGCGGGACATTGTGCGCGGCAGGCTGGCTTCGACGCTTGCCTGCAGCAGCTGCGCCGCCGACACTCGCTGGCATCGCAGCCAGCGAGGCCAGAGCTTGCACGACTGAGCTCCAGCAGTTGGCCCCCAATGAGCAAAAAACTTTGCAGGTTCGGATGGGGTTGCTCCGAACTGCTCTCGGCGCGATCGAATCCGAGAAGCGCGAGTTTCAGTGTGAAGGTGCGCCGCGCCCAGGGTGGCAGAGAGGGATCAAGCCCGAACGCCCGCCAGCCCCCAGTCTGCGTGCTCTTTTCGGGTCTCGGCGCCAAGATGATCCCGCAGGCTCCGCGCGTGCTAGGTGTTCCAGTTCCTCCAGCAAGGCCTCGAGGTCCCTTTGGCTTCGGAGTGAATGCTTCGCACCTTTACATGTTGACGGCACCTTCTGAAAAGAAAGGCCCCCGCTGGGAAGGTGGTCCATATGTCGGGAAGGGGGGGGGGGGGGGTGCACCAGAGCCACCGTTTAAAGTTCCACGTTGGGCTGAAACTTTTGTTTTGCTCCCTCTGTGGCGCTTGCGCGCAGCAGGTTCTCGGGGAACTCGGAGACGTGTGCGAGAAGCCCACGCCTGCGGGATGCGAGTGTCCCAAGCGAGTTTCGGGGGGGCTCTGGCCCGAGGTCCTCAGTCGTGCGGAGAAGGCCTCCAGGGCCAAGAATACCTTGCACAGGGTGACGGAGTTTTTATTTCACACATCGCCATGCGATCAGGCACAGACTCCAGAAACTCCTCCTCGTCCTCCTTCTTCTGTGCGCTCACACTGCAAACTCCGCCCATGGGGCGTGCGTCGTCGTCGTCGTCCTCGTGCTTGTTCGCGTCCTCCTCGTCCTCGTTCCCGTTCGCGTCGTCATTATCATCCTCGTCGTCGTCGTCTTCGTATTCGTCCTCGTCCTCCTCGTCCTCGTTTTTTGTGACACCCCCCTCCTCCTCCTCCTCCTCCTCCTCCTCCTTCTCATCGTTACCTTCCTCCTCCCATCCAGGATTGAAAGACCGTTTTTCTCCTCTTCCTCTTCCGCCTCGTCCTCCTCTTCCTCCTCCTCCTCCTCCTCCTCCTCTTCCTTTTCCTCTTCCTCTTCCTTTTCCTCCTCTTCTCCTCCTCCTTCTCCTCATCCTCCTCCTCCTTCTCCTCCTCCTCCTCTTCCTTTTCCTCCTCCTCTTCCTCCATCCTGAGAGCCCTGGGGGCGCCCGAGTGGATTCCCACCCCTGCTTCCCGGAGCTCCAGGAGGATTGGGGTCTATCGCAATATAGCGCTTGCAGTAGCGGCCCGGCAGGGTCAGGGGAGGAAAAAGGAAAGGGGACGGCGAAGCGATAGCGAGGTGCCGGTCAGTCGTCCCGGGGGGGGACGCCCCTACGAGAGCCCGGCGGTGGCGCCGGAGCGCCGAGAAAAAATGCTGGTCGAAGGGGAAGGAGGGAGGAGGGGGGGGATTCAGGCCGTGTTGATGGAGTTTCGCACACACACTCCCAACAATAGACGTAAACAAAAAAATCAGCCTCCAATGCCAACCATGCTTCCTTGTCCGTCGCAATGTGTCTCCACCTTCTTGTAGTTTTCGTCACCGTCGTGCGTAGTGACTGTGCGTGCGAATTGTGTGGCTTCTGTCTCCCATTTTTTCCGGTGTCCTCCGTGGCGTCGTAGGGTTGGGCGCGGGTCGTGCGTGTTCGGACTCCAGTGTAGTGAGAGCCGCGTCCATCTGTCGTAGTCGTGGGTTGCGACGTGCGATGCCCACCGCCACTTCCGTATGAAGTATACTGCATGGCAGTCCTGCACGCCTGCGCGCCGAGCATGGTGAAGGGTTGCGTGCGTCGACCTGCATATGAAGTCTTCCCGCGGTTCCAGCCCGCCTCCTTCTTTCGTGTCGTCGGCTCTGTCGTGGTGGGTGGGGGCGTCTGTTGCGTGAGTGCGGGCTTCGTTGGTGTCGTCGTCGTCGTTTGTGTGGTTTTGTCTATCGCGACGGCGTGGCATCCCGATTACAAGCCGGAGCATCCTCCGCTGGGCACGCCGTAAAGTGAAGAGCATGTCGCTGGTGAGGGTCCAAGAGGAACACACACACACACACACACATATCACGGATTCTGTGATTGTTCCGCTGAACAGCCTCAGTCGATTGTGGAGCGGGAAACGCTTGTATCAGCTCGTATCTCAATTGGTTGAAGCGACCTCATCCTGCGTCAATCCTACTGCGTAGCTCTGTCTCGTGGAAGTCGCGAAAAGTGAGTTTCCTTCCTAAATACTTCGTGCTCTGGCCAGAAGGCAATATTTCGATGCGTTCGCCGTTGATGTCGACATGAGTAATTGTTATTCTTTCTCTCTGGCTGGCGCTCGCCTAGATCTTGGTCTTGTCTGGGCGCAGTGCCAGGCCGCATATCTTGGCTTGGGATTGCATTGCGGAGGACGCAGGAAAGCTGTCGTAAGTTGGGGGCGTAGAGCAAGACGTCGTCGGCGAACAAGAAAAGCGGAGCGGGGGGCGGAGGGCGGGGTCGGTCAGGGCAGCCACGCAGGCAGGCGTTGTGGCAGACGTGGGGGTCACGGTCGCCGAGCGTGGCCATGCTACCAGGCGGGGTGGTCGCTGTGGAGGCCGAGCTGGGCGGGCTGATGGCCGGGCGCCGTGGTGGTGTTCGTGGTGGCTTGGTTGGTGGTCGTGCCTGTGTGGCACGTGCTGGTGGTGGTCAAGCGTCCGGCTGGCGGTGGCCGTGGTGGCTGCGGCCGCAGGAGTCGTAGTGATCGTTGTTTTGGTCACGGTCGCTGGTGGCAGTCGTTGCCAGCAAAGCCGCCATGGTGGCGGCTACGGCTGCCGTCGGTGCCCGCGGCGATGGTCAGAAAGCCGGTGTGGCCTAGCGCCCAAGCGCACTGAGCAACATCTCGGCATTGCCAGTCCGAAAGCGCCTTCTGATTAGCCTCCACAACTTCCCGAGGACCTCGGCCCGGTCAACGTCTTCGCGCCCATGACCGTACGACCTGATGAATTCGACGGCCGTGTCGGACGGGCGGCATCCCGACTCGAACACCGAGGGCGCCAAGTTCCCGTGCTGCGGAGGGTAGCGGCCGCGCTTGTCGTGGACCAGTTGCGCCGCTGCGACCCTGTCGTTGCCTGATCGAGCTCGCCTGCGAGGGCCGTGAGTGCTGTATTCGCAGGTCACGTTCCAATCCACGTACACAGACGGACCTGTGCTGGGGTCGCGTGCGCAAGCGTCCAACTTCGCCTCCTCCCCTCTCCCCTCCCTTTCTCCTCCCCCTTCCCGTTCCTCCCCCCTCCCCCGTCCGCCACAGAGGAGCTTTTTCGCAGCCTGCAGCTGCGGCAGCCCCCCAGCCGTCGGCGCCGAGGTCGTCCAGGGCGGGTGAGCGCCCCCCTCCTGGTCAGGCGTGCAGCTGCAACGATGGGTCTCACGAGGGCGAGGACCGAGAGCTGGGTAGGAGGAGGAGGACGGGCGGGGGGTAGGAGGGGAAGGGGGGGTGGGGCGGAGGGAGGAGGACGGATGAGGATGAGAGGGGATGGGGAAATTGGAAGGGAGAGGGTGGAGCAGGACGAGGGGTGGGGGAGGCGGGAGGGGGGGGGGAGGGGAGAGGAGTGGGCGGGGGGTGGGGAGGGGAAAGGGGGATGGAGAGGGTGAGTAGGTGGAAGGCAGGAGGGTGAGGATGGGAGGTGGAAGGAGGAGGGGGAGGAGGAAAAGGAGGCAGGAGGAGGAGGAGGAGGAGGAGGAGGAGGCGGAGGAGTCGACTCGACTCGAAAGCACTTGGGGGCAGTTCAACAGGTCCCGACTCCTCGCTGCGCTCGCACAGCGCAGCTTACATCTGGAGGCCGCAGGGCAGCGGGATGTGACGTGGCCCTGTGGCGGCCACATAGTCCCCAGGCCGCGGGGAATGCCTTAGCAGGGACGACCTTGCGGCAACCCTGCTGGCACTAGCAGCACCTTCAGGATTTTGTTCTGTCCCCTGACCCCCCCGTTATCACAACGACGACGATTCTCCCCTTTCTCCTTATCCGTGGCAAGAGCCACGAGATAATTTGCCAGCAATTCTCTAAATCGCACTCTGCTGGCAGAGGCCTCAGGAATCACACGACGCCGCGACGATGCAGCATGGACGAGATCTGCCGTTCCACCAGGCCTGTCGGCGCTGACCCCACGAGCTGTGTCGCCTTCAGGTCCAGCAGGATGAGGTCCAGGAAGGCGGTCACCACCTGCGCCTCTGGGTTCGGTTCGGTCCGAGCGCGAACTGCAGGCGAACGTTTCCATTCATCTTCTTTGAGTGATGAGTGCCGCACCAGCGACGGCATGTACTGTGGGGGCCGCTCCTTCACGTGAGCGTTTGAAGACTCCGTCGTTTTTCTCATCACCTCTGGTGGTCCCGTTTTCATCACGGCACGAATCGTCATGTCCATGTGAAAGGCGGGCCTGGGCTATTGAGATTGACCTGCTCTCCCGCGTCACTGTGCTCGTGGAGCGCCTTCACCGCGTCGGCGTAGGATTTGTCGGTTGCGTGGCCGCTATTGGCGAAGTACGACCCCGACGGGGTGGGTATCCGAGTGTGTCGATTGTATTGTTGAGTGCTGTAGGAGGCTGAACCACAACCTCTACAGACCATGCTCTCTTGGACCTAGAGCCCCATAAAAGGGTAAATGCTTTGTTTCGGAGACAACGTCCGTGAAGAAGGGCCACTTCCAGATGTTTGCACATGGTTAGCCGCTTTCCGATGACTTGCTCACACAATTCTACATTGATTCCTCGGTGTAAGCGCATGCGGAAGCTTAGCGCTGCATTGCGCAACGCGTACATGGTTTGCAAGGTCGGACCTACTAGTAAACGTGGCCCCGCATGGGCCTGATTCTTATTCCCAAGGGCAAGTGTGCATGCGTTCCGGTAAAAGAGCCCCATCCTCAACCTCAGTGGTGCCCGAAAGGGAGCATGGAGGAGCAACACTTACGCCGAAGTAGGCACCGCAGAGGATCATATCACCAATTCGCCCAAAGTTGGCGGATACTTCAGGCTCGAAGAGTTTTTTCACCCGGCTTCGGGCCTCGGGCCAGAGGTTGGTTGCCTCTTCGGACACCAGCACACGTTGTGTTCCATGCCCGCACGGACTCGCAATGCCGATGGGGTCGCAGGAGGCCTAGGTAGTTGAGGCGAATTCCCCAGCAACGTTTTCACTCGCGAATGTGCCGACTGATGTAGCTACCAACTAACTGTCTGTGGGACACGGGGAAAGTGATCGCTTTCTAAACTGAAGTGACCCGTGCTCTGGTCGGAGAAGGGGGCCGTGTCGCGATGAGGTGCATGAGGTCACCTCCCCGACGCGGCGTTCAAGCTTTTTGTGGCCCAAGCCGCCGCGGGGGTCTGCAGCCAGCCCCAACAGCGCGCGCTGCCACCCCGCGAGCGGCTGTTCGCCGAAGGCTGATCAATCACGTGGCGCCCGGCCCTCGCGATTGGGCTCGCCTTCTCTTTTTCTTCGGCGACGCTGGATTCCTTGAGTGGGCCCTGGAGGGCCCGATCGTGCCTGCGAACGAGACCGACCCGCTCCGGCGCCACGAGCGCGTGAGCACCCGTATCAGCTTCGGGGAGTACAGTTGGTCAGGGCGAAGTCGCCCTGATGCCGATGCGGCTCTATCCCACGAAGAAAGGCAACACCCGCTGGATCTTCGTCCGCCCCGACCGTGCGCTTGGGTCGGTGGACATCAAGGATCGGTCCAGGATCACCGCGGCCCCAGGTCGCGCACGCCCACTTCCCCGCCCTGTCCCCCCAGGAGAAGACGACGGCTCTGAAGGCGGGCGCCGAGAAGCAGTTGAACATGGAGTTCAGCGCTGCGCGCTGGCGCTCATGGGGCTCGGGGCTCGTGGCTTCGCAGTGGGGCCGTCTTCCTGTGGTCGACCTGTGCGTGGGGCACGACCGGGGGGCTGATCTTCTTCGCCTGGAGGGCAAACCCCGGCGCTCGCTCGCAATCGTGTTCTGTTGAGAGAGCTTGAGAAGCCCGTCGCACTGCCGTCGGCATTGAAAGGGCGCGTGCTTCTCCGAGGGTCCGAGCTCGACGATGCCGCTTGGGGCGCCTTCGGGAGCTGGACTGAGGGCTCCTGCGATTTCGATGTGGTCAGTGATAAGCTTCGTGAGCTGGAGCGCCCACCACCCCCGGGAAAAGGTTGCCATCGCATTCCTGGGAGGAGTTCCTCGCGCTTCATCGGCTACAAGGGCGACGAAGGAAGGCGCCTCATCGGCTACCAGGGCGGCGAAGACAGGTGCGACGAATATGAGTCCGATCAAGAAGATGCCCGTTCGATTTTCACGCAATAGTCCACGTTCGCTCTGCCCGAGGCTCACGAGAAAGAGGATATCTTGAACGATGCCCTCTGCTTCGTTGACGACGAAGACGCGCTTTTTTTTCGGCGGGTACTTGCCAGGAGACGCGATTCTAGAAGGGGGTCGAGCTGTCGCCGTGCGCAGTGGATACCCACGCCAAGAATGACCCTTCTCGCCCCCGGGGTGCCGCGTCTCGGTTTTCGAAGGGTTTTGCGATGGACAGCGCGACGTTCCCGCGCCGAGAATCCATGGGCGCCCTGGGTTCTTCGGGATGGGTTCCTGGTGGAAGGGTTCTTGCGATCGGGCCTCCGCCCTGCGCCGGCCGCAGTCGAGTCCGACGACGCCTGCGCGAGAGGAAGCTCGAGCATGGATTCTGAGCGAGCGCTGGGTAAACAGCAAACTAGTGAGCCGAAGTGCGCTCGACGTGGAGATCGGACTCTGGGCTCGAGACTGCGCGCGCGAGCCAGGCGAGCGGGGGTAGAGGCGTCGCGCCGGTTTCTGGGGTTCCCAGTCCTGCCCCGCCGACGCGGACGCAGCCCCACGGGGCGCTTGTCATCGGGGGCACCTGGCGGCTCAGCCAGACGCCAGTTCCTACATGTGCACCATCTTCGCCGCGGCAGACAAGCATGGAGAAACCTTTGTTGGACTTCCGTGTCAGATGGGCTTCGGCGCAGCAGTTGCTGGAGCTCAGCGTGGAGTTTGTGGTGGCGCCCGACCAGTTCGACAAGCTCGTGAAGCACCTCGGGGGCGCGGAGTGAATCTCCCCCAGATGCCCACTCTCGAGACGGACGGCGTGGGCTTCGGCGGGTCTACCGAGTTTCTTATTGGCTGGGCTCGTCGGAATCGCGAAGATTTGCGGCACTCTCGCGGCGCATGCGATTCAAATGGATGTTCCCATCCTGCTCCCGGTGGACGTGCAGTCAGTCGATGGCGCATGCGAAGTGGGCTCAGGTAGGCACATTGCGATCAATATCTTTGATTTGGCAGATGGCGGCTGGCAGAGAAGGAAGAAACTCAATACCGTCTTTCCCAGGGCCCATGTTACCGAGCTTTCGAGCCTGAGGGCGCTTCATTCTATGTGAATCCGCAGGCGACCTTGGTTCGAACCAGCCATCCTCAGCCAGCTGCCGCTTCTCCGAGCGCCCATCGCGTGCTCGGCCGTGCGGAGCTCATTTTGTAGAGGAAGGAGCCACGACCGGACGGCCGGTCGATCGCTGCGAGACCCATCCGGCCCCTCCTGACACCCGAGAAGCGGATGTGGAAATGGGACCACTTGTGCTTCAAGATTTGGATAATTTTCGACCGCGCGGCCATGGGGCGCCGCGCGGAAGCGCGCGTACGTCGGCGCGACCACCGACGAGAACCTGTTCGGGGAAGTCAGGAGCCTGGACAAAGAGGCTGCCCCGCCCACGAACCAGCGCCGAGACCCGAGGCCTTTCACGCGAGTCTTGAAAATTAGCGCGGGGGAGTGGCTCGTTGACGGCAAGAGGCTGCTACCAGACGGCACGGGCAAAAAGCCAACCGAGCAGACCATCTGTCTTCGCCCGGAGAATGGCACGCGCCACTGGGGCGACGCCCGGGCTCTCTGGCGGGCGCTCGACGCGCGCCAGATGCGTTGGGCGAGGTGCCGCGTCTCAGATTATCTTCGGACTGGAGAACCTGACCTTCGGGAAGTGCGTCGAGGGGGCCTGCGTGGTGGATTGCCAGTGCTGCGAGCGGCGCATGATGACCTGCGAGTCAGGCGCGCCGGTGGCTCAGCGAGGGCCCCGGCGCCCAGCGATGCACGCGGCCACCCGCGAGATGCGAGCGAACGCGATGGTCGGGTGCAGTTTCGTGGCGGTCGGGGAGGGGGGCGACATTTGAAGTGTCAGCGGTACGAGGAGTGTTTGGATGGGCGCAGGTCACGTGTCCGAGTGCATGATGGGGCCGGGAAGCGCTCTTCACGCCTGGGGCCGCTGTTGGCCCCTGTTCCGCAGGTAATTCGCCGACGAGTGGATGACTGAAGTCGCCCGACTGAAGTCGCCCAACCCGACGGGAATTTACTCATGGCATTTGAGGCCATTCGCCATGCCGCCGCTCTGTGTCGGGCGCTGCTAGAAGTGCCCCTGGGCCGAGGCGCCCCC